GCGCACACACACACACACACACACACACACACACACAAACACACACACACACACATAATAATAATACACGCACATACACACAAATACACAATACAAACACACACACACATAATAATAATATACACACACACACACACACGCTAATACAACATAAATACAACAACAACAACAATAACAACAACAACAACAAACCCCTTCTATCTTGCTCCTAATTCTATAACCCTGACAAGCGCTGACCTTTCAGAACTCTGAAAAGACGTCGATAAATTGTATTGTGGCATTGAACAGAGTTGGCGCCAACTTACTGCATTGTTCCCGGCCCTCCAATACCTTCCAAAAGGACGACGCACTCAACATAGAGGCGCTGATAACAACAGTCGTACCTTATCATCGATATTGTTCGCGGAAGATCGTTCAGGATAGGTTAGTCTGCTCTGCACTGTAGACATGTTATATCATAGCAGTTTGTGAGTGACGACCTTCCTGATTTGGATATACCGTACTCGTATTGGAGTTTCTAGGTGATTTTCGGGTGGATACGCGGGTTCGTTGTGTCTTTGCATTAGACTCTTCCACTGTACTGTTACTGTCATGGTTTTTTTTTCTTCTGATGAAATGTGGCTGTTACTAGTTACCGCGCTGATTCGGCTTAATTAAACATGTTTCATTATCTTCATCGTCATCATCATCGCATTCGTCAGCAGCAGCAGCAGTAGCAGCAGGAGCAACAACAAGAACAAGAACAAGAACAACAACAACAACAACAAGAGCAACAAGAGCAACAACTACTACAACAACAGCAGCAGAAGCAGCAACAGTAAAGTGATCATGTGACCCGTATGAAGTACATATGTACATGTGAAATGTTTCAGCTACAGCAGCAAGAGCAACAATAAAAACAACAACAACAACTTTTACTACAGCAACAACAGCAGTAAAGGGATAATGTGACCTGTACGAAGTACATATACGTGTGAAGTATTTTTGCCTTCAAGAGTTGCTTTCTAAAAGCATTTTGCCCCCCCCCCCGGTCCTTTTTTAACGTACACCCCCCCTCCTCCCAAACCTCCCAACACTACTTCTTTTCATTCGTACTATACCCAGCCACTCGACAAAACGGCACCGCGTTAAGAGGAAACATTCTTTAGTGACAAGACAAGTGGGAAATGAATTCTGACACCCCTTTCAGACGGATTTGTGCGTCTCATTCAAACTAGACCTAGCTGCACTAAAGTGTATATCACGACAAGAGGAAAGAAAACAATTCTAGTGTAATGACACTTTCAGACATCTAAAAGATAAGCTGTGCGTCTCATTCAAACTGGAATCAGAATGCACGTAACAGTGGGTGTCCCGACAAGAGGTAGGAAATTCTTTTAACACTTTCAGACATCAGGCGTGTCGATTTGTGTGTCTCATTCAAACTGGAATCAGACTTCACGTAACAGTCGGTGTCACGACAAGAGGCAGGAAATTCTTTTAACACTTTCAGACATCACAGGGATTCTTGCCTCTCATTCAAGCCAGCACCTAACTGCTGCTGTTGCACCAAAGTCAATACCTCGACAAGAGGAAAGAAAATAATTAATTCTATTAACACTTTCAGACATCAGACGTGCCGATTTGTGCGTCTCATTCAAGCTGCCACCAAACTGCACGTCGTGACAGAGGGTGGTGTCAGGTGACACGACAACAGGACAGAAATCCTCAAAACACTTTCAGATCAGACATCACGCGGATTTTTACCTCTATAAAATCCTGCATTTTGATGAATCAAGCTCGAAAAACGGTCACACACTTAGGAAAAAATCCCAGTTGCACTGCTGGTTGGTTGAAGAACTAGCAGTCGACTACCTTTAATGAGACTACTAGAAGTTGACTATCCTTAATCAATGAGATCTAGTAGGGTTACGTAAAGAAGGAGAAGAAAGAAGAATCAAACTCGCATCCAACTGTACCCCTGTGGCCACCACCAACAGCTGTTGAGCCATGCTGATTAGTGTCATGACACGTACTAGACAGCCAACCAGGCGGCATGGGTTCCAGTCTCTCTCCTGGACGACATATGAACGTGAGTAAAAAATTCATGGTATCTGAGTTTCTGTCACTTTGTATTTTTTGTAAGTTTTTAGTACTTTTAGACATCACACAGATTTTGCGTCTCATTCAAGCCCTTACCCAACTTCACTAAAGTAGATGTTACGACAAGAGGAAAGAAAACAATAATTCTAATAACACTTTCAGACATCAGACGGATTCTTACCTCTATAAAATCCTGCAATTTAACACTTTTCCATTACAAGGCTCATATTGTAAAAACTCTTGCCATCAAAGGCAAAGGCATTTTGGGGGAACTCTAAAGAAATGAGTGGTAAACATCGCCGATCGGCGAGATGAAACGGCAAAGTGTTTAATTAATCAAGCTCGAAAAACGGCCACAAACGTAAAAAAAAATCAGTTGCACTGCTGGTTGGTTGAAGAACTAGTCACTACTAGTAGTTGACTACCCTTAATGAGATCTAGCAGGGTTAGGTAAAGAAGGAGAAGAAAGAAGAATCAAGTTCGCATCCAACTGTACCCCTGTGGCCACCACCAGCAGCTGTTGAGCCATGCTGATTAGTGTCATGACACGTACTAGACAGCCAACCAGGCGGCGTGGGTTCCAGTCTCTCTCCTGGACGACATATGAACGTGAGTAAAAATTCATGGTATCTGAGTTTCTGTCACTTTGTATTTTTAAAAAGTTTTTAGTACTTTTAGACATCACACCAGACAGGCAGATCGGAAGCCGGTCTCCTAAATTATCTAAAGTGTGTCAATAGTAGCATAAAAACAACTACATTAAGAAAAAAAAGGAAACAATAACACACACACACAAAACAAATAAAACCGATTATTTCAAACACTGATGGCATAACAACCAACATAATAACTTACGAAAGAAATTTGTATGACAAAAACGTAACTCCATATGTTCAGATTAAAATTTGCCTGTAAATAATCAAACCCAATTACAAAATAAAGCATGTTCTGTTGGTCGCTACGTAGACCAAGATTGTTAATCGTTACGACTAGATATACACGTATTTAGAAATAAATGGATTTTATCCAACCCTGAGAATGTAACACCCAACTCACAACCTACAAAAAAAAAAAGAAACTGGATGACATAGAAATGTACGGCTGTTTTCAGCATCTTCGACCACAATTTGGCTTGATTAGAGTTTAGAATGCATGCAATTTCGTTTAAATATGCAGATCCAGGTTGTAGAATAAGATCATATGTCGGTCGTTACAACTAAAAATACACAAAAATAAATGGATTGTAGGCCCTATCGAACACTGAGAGTTGTAACAACCAACATAACGACTTACAAAATAAATCTGGATGGCAAAAATAGAAATCAGTTTCCAGCACCTCAGATCACAACTAGGCTGTGTAAGGTTCTAATATTCCCAATTTAAAAAAAAAAGATCTGTTGGTCGTTACAACTAGATATACACAAAAATGAATAGATTACATCCAACACTGAAAGCGAAACAACCAACATATCAATTCACTAAACAAATCTGGAAGAGAAAAATGGAAAGCTGTTTCCAGTATCTCAGATCTCAACTAGGCTTCGCTAGAATCTATTATGGATAGTATAGTTACTTATAAAACTGCATGCCAAGGCTGTATAAGAATGGTCTGTTGGTTGTTACAACCAGACATAAACAAACAAAAAATAAGTGGATTATATCTAACACTGAGAATTTAAGAACCTACTAAAGAAATTTAAATTACAAAAATTTGAAGTTGTTTTTAGCAAAACTCAGATGAGAATACGGTTTGGTCATAGTCTAACAAGTGCAATGTTGCTTCTAAAATTGTAGACAAAGTTTGCAAAATAAAATGATTAATATTTCTAATTAGATTCTTTAAAACTTCGCTAATTAAAATTTATTTTGTCATTTTGTGTGTGTGTGTGTGTGTGTGTGTGTGTGTGTGTGTGTGTGTGTGTGTGTGTGTGTGTGTGTGTGTGTGTGTGTGGAAAAGGGGTGTGCATAATACATGTATAAAATCTTTCCTTCCTTTACGCCCACCCCCTCTCATATTCCCCCCGAGTACGATATCGTGTTTCAGATCCAATCAAGCGCAACAAATCTCCGTGTCAGTGTGATCCCTCTGCTGTGTTATAATAATATTACGTGTTGTGACTATTCGCTGAAGCGTGGGGACGAGACACGTCCGGTGTCAGAATGGTTCTATCTGCTGCTGGGCTGCTGAAAATCCTGACAAAACGACTGTGTATATCTCTGTCTATGTCTTTGTCGCTGTCTGTGTCTCTGTCTGTCTCTGTCTCTGTCTCTGTCCTTGCCCTCACCTCCTCTCTCTCTATCTGTCTATATATCCATTTATGCATCTCTCTCTCTCTCTCTCTCTCTCTCTCTCTCTCTC